TTTTGATGATGAGTCATACCTTCTGATTGATTTGAATTCATCATAATAAAGCTAGAGTCTTCTCTTAAGATTATTTTTTGAAAGACCGTTTGGATTTCACAGCTAGCACAAGAATTGAAAAACCAATTAAGCATGTACTTCAACGTTTATTGGACAAAATCACAGTTACACTTTTTAATCCTCTTTTTCTAAAGGATGTACTCCAATTGTACATGGGCCTGTCCATACAATCAATAGAGCAAGTTACATGTTCAATAGGTAGGAAATCTGGGGCTTCAGTCTTAAATAGAACTTGCCAAAACGGAATAGGCAATGGCAGACACCAGAGAAGTTTTAGCTTAGAAGTGAACTTGCTTCTTGATACAGGAGACTGTTAACATGAAGTTTCCTGAGACCAGAAAAAAGTGCAATGGGGAAAAAAGACTAAACTGAGCCTCCATTTCACATATTCAAAAGTGGTCTACATCACCAATAAAAACTACATTGATCAGTATATTGACTACTAAAATTAATTGTGATTTATAATTTAGTCATACCTACCTGGATAGCAATAATATAATACAATGTGCCACACCACATTTCAAGTTGTAAGCAACTCATTTTACGATTGGTGCCTCACTCACCCTTTCGGTAATACAAAAGTTGTCTTTTTAACAAGAAATCAATCCATAAAAATTTCAAGAGCAGTACCAATCTGCTTGAACAATAAGAGGATATTATCAAACTATTAAAATGCTTTAAGAAGTCAGTTCAGACAGTAAATGAATGATGAACAATATTGGCAGTGATATACATTTCCCAGTCAAGGGAACAACAGAATTCAAAACTTACACATTAGAATACAAAATTTGAAATCATAATTGGTGGTCAATTTCTTTAATAACTTATAAAAATTAACATCTTTGAATAGTGAAAAATAAGTACCGGGTAAAATGTACCTTCAGTACTAAGTCCTATCAACTATATAACTTTAGACCGGTAACTCAAAATTATTAATTGATTAACAATAAGTTTTATAAATTGTCCTCTAAAAGAGAACAACATACTTGATGACATTAAGAACATGAAGATAAAAAAAATTTCTTTGGATATGGATGATACATAACACTCACTTAATTACTGACTTCATACGATCAAATACTGAACAATAACACTGAAAGAGCTAAAATCGATATGACTTGCAAAACAAAATAAAACTATCTAAAGCGATCGTAAGTGAAAAGGAAAAGAACAAAGTACAGAAAATAAGTACATTGAAAGGAAAATCACAATCTACTCCAGCCATTAACAGATATATGAGTAAGTAAGTCAATAGATAACATCACAAGGTAAAATGATTGTTACTATATGTTATGCTGTACCATGAAACTAGAATGAGAAAGCCAACAAGAAATTTTTTGGAGATGGATCAGGGATACAAGAGAAGACAGAATTGACTCTCGATGCTTAAATTGTTAGTACTGACTCAAAATGATACCAAGTTTAGATACTTAACATACTAAATTTAGGTCAGATTGGACAGTCTTTTAATGTGTTCCTGAATGATGCACTGAAATAATAAACAGTTTACACACAATATGGCATTCAACCCATCTACAGCATAAAATTAAGAGCAACATATCATTCCGACATCACCATATTCCTTGCTTTGTCATAGTAACTGTGTTATTGAATATATTTCACGACTATTGACCATTAAAAGATTGAACATACCTACTAATATACATGATAGATATAAAGCACCACCAACAAATCAAAGATATTTCACAGTGATAATATGGAGGTTTTAGACCCTTAACAGAAATGAAATGATACCGTCCAATATGTTTTGATTTCAGGCATCCTCATGAAAGAAATGCTAAAGCAATATTTGTGTGACGTAAGAAAATGCTCCAAATAGAAGAACTGAGGTAGAGAGCCATTAAAAAAGTTACAGTTGAAAAAATCCTGTTGTTTGGAAGTGAGCTTTCCTCTCAATATAGCAACAACAAATAAAAGTAACAGGCCATTAATAGAAAAGAATAAAAAAGAAAAACTGTATGTAGTTAGTATACATGATAAAGGTAAAAAAAATACTCAAATCAACACTAAATGTACCTTTATAAAATGAGGCTATCCAATGGTTCCGCTAAATGCAAACACACCAAAGGCAGTAAACATTCACTGAATGTTTGAAACAGTTAAGTAAGACCTAAGTAAATCAAACATAACAAACAAAAATCGATATAAACTAATGCAACATTTTCAAAGCAAATGGGTTTTACAGATAGAAGCATCTACAGTCCCTGAAGACCTTAATACAGTAAACAATATTGAAATAATCTTCTACAGCTCCATAAATACCAGCCCAGCTGGTACACATTTAAAATGCTCAACAGGTGTTTTGAAGTCTGTAGACTTTAATACAGTAAATCATTGAAACCACGTGAGAAATCACAGATAATGTTCTTTTCAGAAATCATACATTTTTGGTGTTGATTGTTGACTATAATGCTTGCTTGCTTTTTCCTGATATGGCAAGTGAGGTACAATAATACTAAGGGGTCTCAGTTTCTAAATAAACTGAACACATTAATATTAATTTAACTCTAGAAGTTTTCAGTGAGTAACACTAAAGCATATTATCTTCACTATTTGTAGCACCAAGCAGACATACAAATATTGCAAAATTAATAAGTCAGACTACTTAAATTAACAAGCTATACTTGTTTTTTTGTAAAATATTGTCTTTTGAAGTTCTTTACAGCTTCAGTTTCTTCACTCCTTTTACCACACATGCACATAGGTAGTTTAGGTGGCAAAACATTTGAGACCAATGCTAAATGATAAAACTTTAGAAGAAATATTTTCTTATTATGGAGGTAAAGCTGACCAAAGAGAACCCAAATCTTTCTTAGCATGATGCAGAAAAATTGAGGGGTAAGAGAGTTTGTTGCGGCACTGGGCCGCCGAGGCCAACCTCAAGATGGCAGGCTGCTCATTTCAAGGATAATACTATTAGAATTGCGGCGATGTTGATCTGGTTGGATGGAAACCTCCTTCAAGCTGGCTGATGGAGAAAGCACTTTGCAGCTTCCATTAGCATTAGAGGGAGGCCATGAAAATTGACGTTCACAGGTAAGAGGATTCCATGAAGAAGACACAGTCTCAGAATGTCCTGTGAAATCAGAGTCTTGGTTTGCTACTTCCTGCGTATTTCCAATAACCCTATCAGACTCGCTAATAGTACGTCGCTTAGGTACTTGAATCAGTGCAATGGGATTAAGAGTAACCCCACACACACTTGCAAGCCTATGTACACAGAAGAGAAAAGAAGAGAGTTACAAATAAATAATTGTAACAACTATCTACTCTTCTAAAATATTCTAAACATAAACTGACTATTTCCTACCTCTGCCTGGAAATATGATTGGCCTCCCCATGCAATTTGGAAAAGTCTGAGGAAATTTCAGTAATAGTAGCAGGGCTGCGAGGTGGTTGTTTCAAATTACTGCTGAGATCAATGGTTGGAGGCTCATGTGAAAGGGAAGGCCATGTCTGATCATTAGACAATTCCCTTTCAATAGCAAGGTACATCCGACGTGATTTTTCAATGTTGTGGGATCTGTACCTAATGTAACAAAAGATATGAGATAAAATTCTAAGAATTTTCTCTTTGACAAGTAATACAGAAAAGCAAAGAGGAAAATGATTCCCTAATGCACATACCTGAGTTTTTTTGAAACCAAACGATCAATGAGAAAGGTTTCAAGAACAGATGCCAGAATAAAATTGATACCAGCATACACAAGCATGAAGAAAGAAAAACTGATGTCCAGAGGCATCTTCAATTCAAATTTTTCCTGTACCCATACAGGTGGACCCAACACAATCCAAACAGTGAGGGCTGTGGTTCCTATGGAGGATAGTAACATACCATAGTTGTTAAAAATTGCTTTACGATATGGTGGACCTTTTGAGAACACAACCGCAAGTATGATGTATTGAAAACTTGATGTGGCAAATATAGCATAGTTTTCGAAACATCCAACTGTTTCATCTTTTGTTGTTGCAGCGTTGTAAGGGACAAACCAGTCATAACTGCAAAAATAAAGCATTATAATGTGAGAGCTTGATGAACATCAAAGAACAAAATGTGAAAATTCAGCAAGAGATAAGATATACATACGTCTGAATATGGTAGAAACTTAAAGTTTGAATAACTATCACCACAGCTATTTGGGCAAGTAAGGAAAGTACTGGAGAAAGTGATATAAGTGATGACAGAGGTGGAGTTTTGACAAGAGGCCCATCAAAAGCTTCAGTTCGACCAAAGAAGAAAGCAAATATCTGAGGAAAATACATGTATCAGTATTAAAACATGTAAAAGAACTTTACCAAGCAACAAGGAACAAGGAACCAACTCACTGTTATCATGAAGAGATCAATATAGAGATACTGTACATCCGTGAGATTAGAGTCAATTGAGTATAAGATCATGACCGAAACAAACTGGCAAAGGCTATAGGCAGCCATATACTTGAAAATGCCAAAGGATGTAACTAAGGCAGCACGGCCCTCGCGGATGACAGTGGGTACACAGGATATGTTGGCAACTTTGGATGTGAAGGGAGACGCAACTGATGACTCAGCTTCTGACAATGAAATTCCGGTATGGGCAGCTTTTAAAGCTCCACAATCATTAGCTCCATCACCACACATAGCTGTAAATTAAAAATAAAGTCACAAATAAATACTATTTTTTAATAGTTGCAAAGAACCATTTGGAAATTTTGAACACACTCACCAACGTAATATCCCAGGCCTTGCAGTTCCTGAACCAGCTGTTGCTTCTGATCAGGGCTCATTCGAGCGAATACAGCTCCCCTAGTGGCAATTCTAGGAATAAGCTCGGGAAAATGATTCTTGATTATGGACCAAGTCTTCCCAGTAACAGCAAAGCAGTAGTCTTTCCCGGATATATTGAGTTTCACATCACTGTAACAATGGGATAGAAGAAAATGGTTACAGAAAATGCACAAATCATAATGAGCATGACAATTTGAAAAAGACTAACCCATTGCATTGCTGACTCGTGATTCCTGGAGGTGGATCTTCAATAAAAACTACTGATCCTGACTCAATAGTGGCTAGGCTTTGTAAACTGTTGCTATTTGTTAAGTTAGTCATGTAACTTGCATCACCACCACCCTATAGATAAAAAAGAAACAAATATGCAATTTCAAAGTCAAACAAATGGGTTCAAACAATGAATGGTTACAAAATAACACTCACATTTGCAATAGCAGCATCTGCTTGAGACTGAGTAAAGCAGATTTGAGGAGCCTGACCAGCAATAGCTGCTACACCATGTACAACAATAATGGATCGACAAGCAGGAATCATTCCACAATCTCTAGCTACACTCATGGCTGTTTGAATATTGTCTCCAGTAACCATTATGGTACGAATATGAGCAGAGCGTAGCTCCCTTATGACCCCTGTTGTCTCAGGTTTCAAGCGATTCTCCATAATCACCAGACCAATGAACTGTAATCCACATTCCACATCTTCCCTCTGCATCCTTTGAATTTTGACATAACTACCACTAAGGGTCTTAGATCCGACAGCAAGAACTCTATAGCCTTGCTGGGTATATTCCTCTAGTACAGAATGGAACTCTGTTGGAACTGAAGGTAAAAATTCAATTAGAGATGGATGTTGTTTGATATTTTCCTAACGTGATAAAATATAAACAATCAAATATACCTGTGTTGGGGAGAGAAAGAGACATTATCATTTCCGGTGATCCTTTGCAGTAGACAGTAAATTTACTGGCCCCCAATACACGCGTTATGACACTCATCCTTTGAAGACTTGACGAAAATGGGAATTGACGGACAATTCCAATCTCCAGTGAAGCCTAAAACAATGGAAACATGACAAAATAATTTTAAAAAAGCAAATAAAATTACTAAGTTTATTGTTATTGTTTTTTAAATTACCTTGTCTGCCACATTAGGAGGAGGTCGCACCACAGTGGGGAAAATCAGATCAAACTTGGAATTGTCATCAATTTCAGGTTCTTCTAATAGCCAAGTAGTTGATTCAAACATCTGCAAAGTTTTAAATAAGAGTAAAAAATTTATCTCACTACTCTGAAACAAGGTGAATAGTTCATTTTAAAATAGTATTGATAATATAGTACCTTTAGGTCAAGAGGATCACCAGAAAGTTTTCCATCAATAATTGTGAGTGAGTGGCAAGTTACCATTGCTCGGCACAGCTCATCATCAACTTCTAAAGAATCAACTTCCTTCACAGGAATATGAAAGTGATTGTTTCGAACTGGTACTACACCCCACATGTCCATCCCATCCTCGGTTAAGGTACCAGTCTTATCAAAGCAAACACAGTCAACTGATCCAGACACATTGATACATCTTGGTGTTATACAATAGATATCCTTTTTTCCTAATCTGTTTTGAGCATACATGCTGCCAACAGTCATTGCAGCAGGTAGGGCAGGTGGAACAACAACTGTGATGAGGTCTAAAGCTTCCAGAGTAATATCTCTAACACTCACCCCTCGCAAGACCTGAGTAAAGAATAAAATGGAATTAGAATTTAAACATTAGTAAACTTTATCTTAAATTTGAGATGATACTTACTTTAGTAAGGATGGTGTAAACAAATCCCAAACTAGCAAGGCCAGCTAGAAGTTTGACAAATTTGTAAGAATCATGTTCAAATTTAAAGTCTACTGGAGGAGGGTAAAGGATTGACCGAACCAAGCTGCCTTTAGAAGTAGAGAATCCAGTACGAACAACTACTGCCAATACTTTTTCCGAATCGAAATAGCGTGTTTGTATGATTTGGGTTCCACAGAACAAAGTGTGCCGGGAGTGTTCTTTTTGATCAAACATAACTGACTGCACATTTGGTAAGGATGTTTTAGTTACTGGAACACTCTCCCCTTTAACAGATACAAAGGTAGATATGATTAGGCACCTTATACACTGGCAGAGGTATGAAAATCAAAACTATGTTTAAATATTACAGAAACTTTACCTGTGAGCATGCTTTCATTGACAATGCAGGTTCCAGTGAGCAGAACCGCATCACAATGCATAATACAACCACGAGATGGTACAACCAACACATCTCCTGGAACAAGATGCTCTGTGGGCACAGTCACAACTTCCCCATTACTCCCTTGAATGATAGAGACAACATCTGATGAATGAACTGTGCTTTGAAGATTTAACAGATTCTGTAAGGAAACAATGAGTTTATGTATAAGTGATCTTTTTAATAATAACCGCCCTTCCAATCGAGTAATGACTTAATTAAAAGAACCAAATACAACTTACTCGTCTAGTTTGAATTATGGACATTGAGACACCAAACACTGACATTATGAGGATTGCAATGGCATAGTAGTAATAATTATCCAAAAACCACAGTATGAATGAGCATATCTGGAAGATATAGAAAGGATTCAAAACCTCCAGAAATAGAAGTTCGGGAATGCTTTTCAACGGAATCTTTATTTCGTTGTCTCCATAGACAAAGCGCCGCAAGAATTGATCTTGAAGGGAAACTCCTTTCTGATGGTGAAGGGTGGCAGTGGAAACTTGATGATCAAGTCCATGGAGTTGTTGAAATTCACTTTTCTCCCAGTCCCAAACAAAACGCATTTTTTTGCACCGGAACATGCGCAGACAATCAATTTCTAAAAAAGGTTGAGAGAAGTATATTATTTCAAAATGTGCACAGCAGATAACACATACATACAGAAAAGAAGATGCATTGATACAATACCTTTAAAGATCCCACCAGAAGTATGAATAGTAAGGGGGACGTTTCCCTGCCTGATTTCTTTGAGGGCTTGAGAATCCCATCTGTCACCAGTTTTTTCACTATTAAAGTTCCTAGAGGTAGACAGGAAGAGTTATACACTACCAAATCCAATATCATGAGAAAAGTAAAATAGGAAATAGACATAAGGAACTTACTCAAAATCATTTTTGGTGTGGGTGGTGACCTCCTTTACGTGATAACACTTGTGCTTTTTCTGAAACTCTTCCTATATAATGAAAGGACAAAAAAAAGCAGGTAAAGTAAAAGAATTCATGTTTTGTTTGGTAAAAAAAGTGTAAATGTAGATGTGAGATAAAAAGGTACATACAACAATAAGGACTTTCTGCGCAACTTGAAGTCCACAGCGTTTATGAGTGGCATACAACCACCAGTGTGGAGTCCAATGAAAGAAGAGACGAAGCAATCCACAAGTTAACACAATAAAGAACCATGAAGTGAAAGAAAGCCAGAAGCTTCGTGTATAACCATAAACTTCCTGTAAATCAATAAAAATCAATTATTATGTATTTAGCATTTATATGCAAAAAAAAGTAGATATATCATTAATACTTCAAATAACCCACCATTTGGTCATCTTGTCCTGCATTGATGTAGTCAACACCAGCTTCCATTCTTGGGGGAACTCCATTTTTGATTTTACCACCAGTACCTATAAAATAAATTATTTAAAAAAAAGTAAAGAAAAAAGGGGTATATTAGTTTGGAAACTCAAATACATGAATTGATTTAGGTGTCACAGCTAATCATCATATAGAAGAAATATGATTTTATTTTATTTGACTACTCCAAAAGATGTTTAGATATTAATACCTTGGTTTTCCAAAAGTTCTGTATTTTGTTCAAATAACTGTTTCTTGTGAAAGTGGTGGCCACTGTCTGAAATCCAAGCTCTGAGGGTATTAAGGAGTCCATTTCCACTGTTACTCATGTTGGAAGCAGTCATCCTTTTGTGGGGTATTTGCAAAATGTATGCAATGAGGAAGATAGTGTCAAGTATGAACACAGTCAGCACTGATGAAGAGTCAGGTTGCACCACGGCAGATTATGCACGAGGGATTTTAACCAGAGTCAAAACTGAGATGCTTGACTTCTTCACAATAAACTGAGGTTCACATCACTGAAGCTTCTGTTGAGCACTTCACTCACTTAGTGTGTTTTCGTGGCAATTACTAAAACTATTATTAAAGTCACTGCCCTCAAAAAACTGTCAGAATGTCTATAACAATAATAACACAGATTCCTTCAATTATCACAGCAAAATATTACTAATTAAGTACTCAATTCCAATGCCAATTTTGGCAATTATTGCACAGATTTTGAAAGAAATTATGATGTAGCTGGAGAGCAATTTCACCTCAGATGACACTGAGTCTTCCTTCCTATCCAAATGAGAGATCTCTTGACGACCTCAAGAGCTTGACAATGCAATCCAATTGTGCAATCCCAAGAAAACTTCTGGCTTCAGGCCATTTGCAGAATCATCCAAGCAATTTTCACCTCCCCAACCACATAGGCATAGGCTACCTTGGTTTGGTGGGGTGTTGCTGGAGTAGGAGTTGATGTCAGTCCCCAGGATCTGGCTTTCGCCATCCAATGCGAGACCTCTTTGCATCAAGTTCACAACAGGACATTGCACTAAATTTAATCTTTGAGGAAAACTTGGATGATAAGTCCTCAGACATCACGAACAGAAAGAATAACTTGGCTTAGACAAATCTATATCTGGTTAAAATCTAAAAAATAATTCTAGGTGAAAGTCTTTAGCTTCTTTCAAGCATTCAAGAAATGAAGACAGTAAAAATTATACTGTCAGTCTCCCCAGAAAAAATCACATGGAATTCAAGACTGAGGGGCGAAAAATCAACGGGCGTTGCTTCAGACTAGTATTCTTCATCCAGTCTTTAAATATCATGGTGAACACCAATCAGTGGCCCACAGTAGCAAATAAATGCTCGGCTCCAACAGAAAAGTCGGAGGAGGGACAGGGCCGCTCGATTCTGACAACTTCTTGGACTAGAGATCGGAATTAGATCGCCGATGAACAGACGTCGTGGAGTATAGGCAGGACCAGCAGACAACTCCTTATCGATGCACTCGACGACCGATGACTGGCTCGCGAAGCATGTGACTCTCCTCAGCGCCCAACTCCGCCACGGCGCGGCCGTCCGTCTCCAATCCAAAAAAGGCGAGCAGACGTTTGGCTCCGCGACTTCAGAGCTCGACCACGACAGGCGCGAGCAGCGCCACAAACGTGTGGTTTTCACACTTATTCCATTCGCTGGACACGGGGGGAGCCTCTGTTATACGTGCGAAGGCGCGGCGCACCTCGCACCTCACGGAACAGCCGTCTAAAATTAACGACGGCAACCGGATCGAACCAGCTGACCCGCGCGACGCGAAAAGATAACTGCGAAGCCTTTCCGTGGCGAAGATGTCGCCTCGTCGATCGTCATCGGAAAACCGCGAGGGGGTCGGTCGGTACTCCTGGGTGGGCTCCCACCGCGCATGCACCCTGTGGCTTAGAGCGAATCCAAATCCAAATCCGCCACCCAGCGGGCTGGCGGTAACAATCGCCAACGTACTGGAGCCGAGACCCAGTGGCGCCGACCGCGAACACTCCCGGAAACGGACCGAGGAGATACAAAACAAACAAATCTGATAGGGTGGTGTCAACGCGCGTGGCCGTCGTCCTCACATTTGAGTGTCAGGACGCTCGGACAGGGTCCACACGCGAAGGTTAGGTTGGCCACTGCCGCGGTGCGCTATGAGAAATCGCGGGTGGGGGCGGAGCTTACGAGCGGGGGCGCTGCTCGGCACGGCTCGGCGGGGCGTCGCGACGCGTCGTCTGCTCGAGGTGAATGCCATGCTCTGTGACGCGGCGCGCCCGGCCAGGGGGTGGGGGTAAGGTGACGTGTTTTCCCACGAAGTCACGGATTTCATGTGAGAGCCCGACCGACGACTCAACGTGCTTTCAGCAGCACAGCGGCGGCGCTTGTCAACTCTGATTAAGCATTCTTAAGCTTGCATCAAGTGTGCATCCAACATTAAGGCTTGACGTTTTCTTCCTCCTCTGATTCGAGACTCCTACAGCTCTCACAAGGATTCAGACAGGGCTGCAAGGTGTAGTGAAATGTGTTGTGTATCTAGCCGTGGTGTCTCAGTCATTCTCCAAAATCAATAACTTACCGTACAAGTCCTCAGAGGAGTAGTTGTTCACAGTCGGTCTCCTCACTCCACCCCTTTCAGTCGACTCATATGCGCGAAAGTTTGTGTCCGGGTGCACCTCGATAGTCCCACAGTCCTCCAACGATCTGCTGCTACTGGTGCCACTAATACTACTACTACTCAGGCTCATGTCTCCCCTCGGGCTCCAAGTGAGTACCCTGTTCCGGGTAGCTGGACTGCTCCTCGTCGACTCGCACCGAATGGTGTCCGGGCTGTCTCCGTTTCCTCCGTCGCTGCTGGGAGACGCCGACGTCGATACCGAGATCTTGGCCAAGGCCACCGCGGGTACAAGAGCTTCATCCTGCCCACCGATGACGAAGGACGTCGCCGCCGAGGACGGGACCTCCGCAGGGGTCGGGGGTGCCGCCTGCCCGTCGCAGCTAGAGGACGTCGACGTCGAGGATGAGACGTCCGCGGGGGTGGGGGTTGCCGCCTGCTCGCCGTAGTTGAAGGACGTCGACACCGAGGATGGGAACTCCGCGGGGGCGGGGGCTACCACCTGCTCGTCGCAGCTGGAGGACGTCGGCGCCGAGGACGAGCACAGCGCGGGTGTTGGGGTGGCGGCAGGAGGCTTCACCTGCTCAGCATTACTGAAGGACGTCGACGCCGAGGTCGAGGACGGAGAAACCGCGGGTGCATGCGTGACGACAGGGTGTGCCACCTGCCCGTTGACGCCCACCTCGGCCGGCAGGTCCACCATGACGATGCCTTCACGGGCGCTCCTGGGAGCAACAAGGTGGCCCTCTTCCCCCATGTCGGCGCAGCTCGTACGAGATAAGGGCCGGGGTCGGGTGGTTGCCGTGGCGAGTCTCCGATGGGGTCCCGGGCCCGGGCCGGTGGAGAGGAGCAGGGCCTCCGTGGGGAGGGGCGTGCGCCGCACCCGTGCCCCTCAGGGGGCGACGCCAGGTGGGCGCTTAGCGTTCCGGCCCTGCCATCCCAGGAGGCAGACGTCCCCGTTCAGACTGGGTGGCGCGGGTTGCAGAGGAGGCTCCGCGAGCTCCGCCGCCGGCTCCCCGTCCCTCGAGGACACCCCGTTATCTCGCTCGTCTAGGCGAGGGTGCCTCTGACGGGATAGTTCTCGCGCCGACGCGTACCAGCCCGCACTCACTCACTGTTCGCCGCACTGTCGCACTTACACGGGCCGCGCACTCGCCACGCCGCCGACGACGGAAGTCACAAGTTTAGACGTGTGGCGACGAGTCGGCACCGCGGCGGCGGCGGTGGCGGTGGTGTTTGGTGGGCCTCCAGCCACATCGGCCATTATCCAAAGGCGCACTTGATGTCGCTGTCGGCAGGTGGCGGCGCGGGGAGGACGGCGGCGGCGGCTCCCACGCTCCCACAGTCGTAATCTTGACGGACGGCTCTGCTCCGCGTGGCTCCTCTCGACGGGCACACGCCGGGGCTGTGTCACCCGCACTGAGGCCGCCGCCGGCCAGGGCCCCCGTGTGTGCGCTCCGGGCTGCTGAAGGTCCCCGTGCGGTCGACTGGGATGGACGGTGGACGGCCCGGGTCGGGTGGCGCGGGTGGTGGGCTGGGCCCCGCGGTGCCCTCGGGCGAGCGACAAACAACACCGTGGCGGCGGCGGCGGGGTCGGCGGCGGCGGGGTCGGCGGCGGCGGCGCGGGGATACGCGGGCGGTATGGTGTTCCGTTGATGGATCTGTCGGGATCCGATCGGCGGCGAGGTGCACGTGCCGCAGACTGCCGTCGCAATGACGTGTTGCGTCCAAGTGCGGGTGCTGTGCCCGGCCGTGCCCCACGGGGACCCCTCCTCCCCGCTCCGTCCTATCTGCTTCTCACGCCGAATGGTCTCTTCGATAACGAGCCCCCGTCGCGCACGTGGGTCCTGGCCTGCCCTCGCCAGACCGGCTTGGGCGTGTGGCGCGGCCAGGGGGACCAGTAGTGCCGGGAGTTAATTACGGGAGGGGGATCGCGGTGTTCGGCTTGATATTCCTTTCTCCCTTACTCCACACCCTGCCGTGTCTCCGCGAGCCCCGTCTCTCTCGCACTCCCCGCGCGGCCACTCGGCGCCTCATTTGCATGATAGACTGACGGTGATGAAGTAGTAGCGGCTGCCGAGGGCTTCATGACCCGACCTGTATGCGAGTCTTCTTCTTGCCAAGGCCAGTAGTTGTTCTGTCAGAGACTGTACACCTCGGGGTGGCACGCTGATGATGCTGTTTGGGGGGTGGGCGATGGGAAAAGACGGCCGCTCTCTCACGGGGTTCCGACGCCGCCGCGGCCTGGCTGTGATTTCCAGACCGACGACCGACGGGCGGAACCGGAGAAGAGTCGTCTGTGAATCCTTGGGTGACCAGCAAGGTGGACAACAAAGTCGCCACTGACCCCTAAAAATCCTGGCAAATTAAGTCAGACACCTGCCGGACCAGTGTGTTTGGACCCACGGGCGTTGATTCCGGTATAACCGTGCCGATAGACTGAAAAGCAGCCCAGAAATCTCCTGCCTTAACTTACTTGTCGGGATTGACAGAGCAGTCTCATCGGACGGAATGACCTCTTATCGACAACGTAAAGGGCAAGGGCACCGCCGCGGATGCGAGACGGAGCGGAGGGTCGGAGCG